CCTCTTTTTGCAGATTATCTCCAATATTCCAGGGCCTTCTTCCTCATCTCCGTCCTCACCATACTCATTGGCCTTGGCTGGCTCTTCAGCTCTTGCCTCCCTAGAAGAGGAAGCACGATCCGCAACCTGGATCTGAAGGTATCCATGCTCAGCTTCATCTCAGGTACAGACCTAGACTGGCGGGGTAACACCATGGCAAAATAGTCAAGGTAACAAAGTTCCTCTGTGGGGCTTTCGAACTCTTTCTTACCCCTTTGCTCTTCTTCTTCAGTATCAACACCAAGTTGCCAGCTACCTGCCTCATCTTATTTTACAGAACACACCTTAGCGGACCTTACTAGGGTAGAGGCCCCTTTCTCTCCCTCATCTTGGTCAATCCTCAAGTTTTTATCCTTTTGATTCTTGCCATACATATGGCCTCTGGAGGCAGAAGGAGAGCTGGGGGTGGTGGTCAAGGCAGACCGAAGATGCTGATGGGTTGTGACATGTTTCCTACTGGTCCTAGCCACCTGCTTGCTCCTCTGCCTCAGCCTGTTTGTGGCCCAGGTTCACTGGCATACTACGGATGCCATGGAGTCAGATCTTCTGTGGACCTTCCATCTTAACTGGTGGAGCGACTTCTTATGCACGTTTGCTGGTGAGTTAGTCTCCTGCCCTATGCTAGAAGGATGGAAAGGGAAATCACTTCTGGAAAGGGAGGTGGAATCCAGGAGAAATGGAATCACTGACTGTGCCTATTCAGAATATTTATGCATGGAGAGTCAGTGGGATATGGTGAAGAAAGCATGGATTTTGGAGTCTGAAAACCTAGAATTAGTAACCTGTTCTTTCACAAAGTGAGGCATGGACAGGTTGAGTAACTTGCCCAAGACCACACAGAAAGTAGTGAAGCTATGATTTGAATCCAGGAGGCTCAAGCTTTGTCCAAACAAGTCTATGGAGCAATGGGAGCACAGGAGAGTAAAGTAACTCTGCTGGGGGATAGAAGGGTTCACCAAAAAATACTACCGAACTGAGTATTAAAGGATGAGTGAGAATTTCAAAAGCCAAAAGGCCATTGTCTGTTGAACCTCACCTCAAATTCTTCTCTTCCCCTAGGGATCATCTCTTTTCTCAACTACTTAAGTTCCAGATCTCATTCCCCTAATCAAAATGTCACTGTGATTCCGGTAGAGAGATCAAGGCTGGGGGTTGGTCCAGTGACTACAGTATCACCTGCTGAAGATGAACTTTCAAGGTCTAAGATGGTATCTCTAAGAGAGGGAGAAAAAAACCTACCAAATGCAGGACTGTGATGTTGCTAGGAAACCCTAACTATCGCTCCTCTTAACAACGGGGGAGAAGCTTGAGTTGGGAATGATTGTGCAAATTCTAGGAAACCATCCTAATATCATGTCCATATTACTGAAGGAGACATCATTAAAGTTGATGAAACACCCTTTGTGTGCATTGGATCCAAAATATGTATGATAATCACAAAGAAACTAATGAAAATTCACTTAAGAAAAATTTATGGGCAGGGCATGGTGGCTCATGTCTGTAATCCTAGCATTTTGGGCGGCAGAGGTGGGAGGATAGTTTGAGCTCAGGAGTTCGAGACCAGCTTGAATAAGAGCAGGACCCCATCTCTACCAAAATAGAAAAAATTAGCCAGGCATCATGGTGCATGCCTGTAGCCCCAGCTCCTCTGGAGGCTGAGGCAGGAGCATCGTGTGAGCCCAGGAGTTCGAGGTTGCTGTGAGTTAGGCTGATACCACTGCAGTCTAGCCAGGGCAACAGAGCAAGACTCTGTCTCAAAAGCAAAATTTTTTTTCTAAAGGAAAACATCAGTGTTTAGGGTCATGAATAAAAGAAACTAGTGATAGATGCAGTGTGTGGACCAGTTATCTCTTTGGGTATTGGGGATCTCATGGATCAGAATGGTCCATGGAGAGTAATATCAATTACTTCTGTTTGGAATTTTCTTTTTTGTGTGTGGATTTGGGGATACTCAGGATGGGAGGTGCTTGGACAATACTGTAGAATCAGAATTTGGGATCATTACCAGAAATGGAATAAACACCAATGAAGATAATATCTACTACCCCAAAGAATTGAGAGGTTTGGGGTGGAATTAGGGGAATCCATGAGGACTTAGTTCCTATGAAAGTTGTTAATTTGAAACCCTTACAGTCTATTATGCAAAACTACTCTTCTCCTAGGCAGGCAGATACCTTAAACCAGGCATCCACAAACTCCCTGAAATTCTATACAAAACTCACATATGCATTTTTCTGTGAAGAGGGCCAGAGACTCCATCAGGGATTCCTTTAGCGCATATATGTAACTGAGCTGAAAGATTTTCCATGTTTTATATACCCATAAAACTAAGTAAGGGTGGAGGAGGTGGTATTTTCAGGCCATAATATAGGTCTTTTGATGGCTAACGATCCCTTTCAAACTCAGACCAGATTCTATGCAGAAGGTCCCTGACACTCATTTTGTCTTTTATGCCTTTAGTTGTTACCACTATACTCTATTGGTTGAGACCATTCTTCTCCCCAAGCCTGGCAATGGAACGGACTACAGTGGCCAGCTTCACCTCTCAAAGATAAGCCCTTGGGTCCTTTCGGTTTAATTTTGAGATTCACTACTAACCCTCGTAGAAAGCAAAAATAACAGACATGGAGAAATAATATAGTTCTTATAATCCTGGTCAGTAATTCCCAGACATTCCAGATGGTAACTGGAAGCCCTTTGGGTTAATACTTCTGCTTTTATTCCCGTGGGTGGCAGCTTACAGCACATGCTTATGTATACCCACACACAGAGACACAAACACACATTTATACACACATTTCGCTTTGATCCTGCCTCGGAAAACCCTTTTATTCATGTTGGCCCCACTTTCTAGCAGGTAATTTTTAATATGGCGGAATTGCTGGTACCTCCTTACGTCAAGTGGCCTCATTTCAGAGGCTCTTCATGCTGTTCCCGGGCCTTTGTCTGGTTGTAAGAATAGACATGTAATCAAAGCCAACTCCCCCTCCTCGCATTACCACTGACACGCAAATTCTACTCCACATATTGACTGGTTAAGTACTCACTGGAGTCTCAATCTTTATTTACAATTTAGTTTGAATACTTTAATTATATGACTGAATTGACAGGATGCTGAGCACTGATGACTCTTCAAGGAAGAGAGGAAGTTTTAAATGGGGGGAGGAAAGGAAGCAGTCCTGAGTGAGGGCAGAAGCAGCCAGACAGTAAGAAAGTAGCAGTAAGGGCTCTGGCTATTGGAGGAGAATTGGCAGAAATTGTAATTAACTTGTCTACTTTTCTAGCAGAGAATTATCTTATAAGCAGAGACAATCTTTCATTGCTCCTTTAGAAACTGAATGCTTTCTCTATTTTCTTTCTCTCTTTCTTTTAAAGAATTCCTTAAAAAGCTTAGGTAGATTTCCAGCCAGAGATAGCTCAGTAAATTATCCTTTGATACACTCCCTTTACTCCAAATACATTTTATAACAGATGAAGTGGAGAGATAGAAAGACAGACAGACAGACAAAGTCTAGTCAAAACAAGATGAACATTTTCACAGACTAGAAAAAACCCCCAAAATGCAAAGCTAAGATTTGAGCCAAGCCCTAGACTTACTGGGCTCTAAGTCCAAAAATAAGTAGAAGTGAACAGGAAGATGGCTCTTGTGGGGTGAAAGTCAAGACACAGACTAGAGCCAGGTTCATAACTTCAGATCAAAAAAGAGCTCTAGGAAAGAAGCTGAATAAAAACTGCTGCCAAGCACTGACTAGGGCTATAGGTTATCTGGAACTACAGGCTTAAAGAGACAGAAAGACACAAATACAGCCTTGCTAAATCAAGTAGCCCATTGGTTCATTAACTGTGTCTGTGATAGTCTCTGGTAACATAACAGAACAGGAAATCTAAAATACTGTATTATGAGATCTGACTCTGGACTGGGGATTTTGGCCAAAGTAAGGAAACTCTAAAACTACCAGGTGTGATAAAATCGAAGTAGAAAGAAACAAAAACAAACAAAAGAAATGTTTGTGTCCACGAATAGGAATTTCAAACATGAAGAAATGTTCAGAACAAAGTTAATAATGTCAATAATCAGAACATGAATTCATTCCAGATTAAAGTAATTTGAAGTATGGCGTGATAAAGACTTCAAGTATTCTTAGGACGCACAAACGGATATATGATGAAATCAGAGACTACAAAAGAAACCCCCAGGCCGGGCGCGGTGGCTCACTCCTGTAATCCTAGCTCTCTGGGAGGCCGAGGTGGGCGGATTGTTTGAGCTCAGGAGTTCGAAACCAGCCTGAGCAAGAGCGAGACCTCCTAGCTCTCTGGGAGGCCGAGGCGGGCGGATTGTTTGAGCTCAGGAGTTCGAAACCAGCCTGAGCAAGAGCGAGACCCCGTCTCTACTAAAATTAGAAAGAAATTAATTGGACAACTAAAAATATATAGAAAAAATTAGCCAGGCATGGTGGCGCATGCCTGTAGTCCCAGCTACTTGGGAGGCTGAGGCAGGAGGATCGCTTGAGCCCAGGAGTTTGAGGTTGCTGTGAGCTAGGCTAATGCCACGGCACTCACTCTAGCCAGGGCAACAGAGTGAGACTCTGTCTCAAAAAAAAAAAAAAAAAAAAGAAACCCCCAAATCATGAAACAAAAATAGGTAGAAATAATACAAGAACAGGTTTAAATGAAAAAGAACCAATTATAAACTGAAAATGAAAAAATATTTATTGGAATAAAAAATGCAATAGGATAAAATCTAGATAGCTAAGTAACAAAAAGAAAATATTGTATTTTCAGACATACCTAGAACATTTATTAATATAAAAATTGACCAAATACTGGCGAGGCATGGTGGCTCATGCCTGTAATCCTAACACTCTGGGAGGCTGAGGCAGGAGGATTGCTTGAGGTCAGGAGTTTGAGACCAGCCTGAGCAAGAGCGAGACCCTGTCTATACAAAAAAATAGAAAAATTAGCGAGGCATGGTGGCGCGTGCCTGTAGTCTGAGGTTGTAGTGAGCTATGGTCATGCCACTGTACTCTAGCC